AAATAAAAATGTACACTTTGACTTATTTGATTATATTTGGTATTTGATTATACCAAATATATTCCTATTTAGTATATACATTAAATACTTATTAAAGTATTTATTTATTTTATTTGTCAAAGTTAAGTATAGATTTGTTTATATTATCAAATCATAAAAAAATATTAAATCGATATTGTAAAAAAAAAATCATATAATTTTATAAAAATTCTACTACACTATTTAACAATATTTTTTTTATTATATAATAAAATAATAATTAAATATTATATGGTGAACAACAATAAGTAAAACTGTTACTTTCTCTTATATCAAGGGATAAATGTATATGGTAATATTAAATTTTTATTAGTATAAATATTTTAGTGAGATAATATATTAATTATTTTACAAGCTAACCCTAACATGCTCATATTTAATGTTTTAAAAGATGTAGAAAAAAAATTTATAATAATTCTATTGTTTTTTAGACTTAAACGTTGATTAAAAGAGGTAAAAATTCATAATTTTTTAGACTTAAACATTGATTAACACCATAGATTGAGAGTTTATACTTAGTAAAATTCCTAATTGTAATAAAAAAAATTAATTTTTGCTATATTTTAGAATATCTTTATATTCATTATAAAAAAAAAAGAAAAAAAACTACAATAAAAAAAGCAAGTCAGCTATATATGGAGTTGTTGTACTTCTCAAATCACATTCACAATTTGGCTACAAGGAAAGGAAATTCATTGATTAAAATATTATTTTGTCAGTAGTCTTAATGTACAAGAGACTTTAAGACTCCACTTGAATATTATAAAACTTTTATTGAACATTGTACAATTTTCTTGCGTATTATAAACTTTTATTGAATATTGCATCTTACAATATAATATTCTCCAAATAAATATATCTTGTGCTTCACACGGGTCACGTATTATATATATCCCGTACATTTTTCTTTATTCATGTATATAATTATAAACCTAGATAAATAACTTTAAAATTGTGCACCCCGTGCATCGCACAGGCTCTGTACTAGTTTTTTTTTTATATTAGGACATCATTATATTATTTTTGAAGAAAAAAAATATTAAGATCTCATTTTGTTCTACATTTTATTTCGTTCCTACAATGATATGTTTAACAAATTAATTATTTAATTTTAATAAACTTAAGTGATAAAAAACATTCATCACGNTGAAATATTTTTTTTTTTCCATTGAGTTTTGGTCCAAACTCGAAACCTTCTGTCTGGTATCGTCGAACGTAATTTTTTTCGAGGTAAGGATTTGCATCTGTTTCGTTTGGTGTTGTTTCTGATACTAATCATTCGGGAAAAAATGTCGTCGGTAGCTTGATTTTGTTTTTCACTCTGTTTGGGATATAAAGCCCCAATTTTTGTGGGCCTTTTTTGGTATGTAGCTCAAAATTGGAGCGGTATTTGGCCATGGTTGTTAACTTGTCATTCATCTATCTATTAGATTAGCCACTGTTCTAAAAATCGGCCTAGGCGGCGCCTAGGCGCTAGAAGGTGCCCGGGCGCCTTCGATTTGTACAAATCGGCAAAAAAATCGGTCAGGCGGCTAGGCGGCGCCTAGGCGGCCCTAGGCGCTCCTAGGCGGCCTTGACGGCCAGACGGTTAGGCGGCGTCTAGGCGGGCGTAGGCGGACTTAGGCGCTCCTAGGCGGGCTCGGCGGCAATTTTTCAATTATTTTTTTAATTTTTTTTATTTTTTTAAATACTAATTACATTATTTTGTTCTCATGTTTTCTTTAATATATATTAATATTATTATTTGGACTTTGGTGTGTGAAATTATTATATGTTGAGATAATTTTATTTTGTAGGTAGTTAAAATAAATAAAAAATAAGGTATTTACTATTGATTTCTGGGCCCCGACTAGGCGCCGCCTAGACCCCGACTAGGCGCTCTAGGCGCTAGGCACTGGTCGAGCGCCTAGCGGGCGCCTAGCGACTTTTAGAACACTAAGATTAGCGTTTTATGTTAAGAAAATAAAATCACCCGAGCGAATAAAGAATAATGATGATGATTTCAGGGAAATTTAAGTAGGAATACTCGACCGACTTCCATTTGCGTATTTTTGGTTCATGAGAGCTTGAAAGTGTATATAGCTGTATAGTACATGATTACTTCAACCCGTGCAGGAAAATCGCTGTGTTGCTCAGCTTTTATTGGAGTTTTGTTATTCTGTAGTTCTTAATTAGATAGTGGCAAATGGATCAGATGGGTGCTGTCAATTCGGAGCTAGAAGAGCTATTTCAGGAGAAAAAGCGTGTTAGGAACCCCCTCGTCCCAATCGGTAAATTTGTAATCCTATATTATATTTTGAACTTTTGAGTACAAATCTCCTTTTTTTGTTTAGCTACAATTGCAATCAACACTAGAAATAGACAGTTACTGTTATATTTTAGGTCCCCACAATTCTACCAGTGGATCTATTCGAAGTAACTTTAGTGTGATTCATTTTGTGATAGTTCTTAACCGTTATGGTTTCCTGAGGTACAAGAAATGTTGACTCTTTTATCGACACTATTTGAGAATATGTCAATCTTGATAGAGGCAGCTCTCTTGATAGTTAGGAAATTATACCTAACAAAACCCTGGGCAATTGAAGATGTATTTGTCCATTGTGTATATACTGAAGCTTAAAAATTTGTGGTGTAACATAACATTAATATGATTGTACAAAACAGAATATAGAGTATTGGTGCTTGTTTATCTTTGTTCCGGTTTGTTGAGAAGACCTCACACTAAAACGGGTTGTCCCAAAAAGTAGGTCTGTTACTAGTCTTTCTCCGTAAATAAATGATAGTTTCTTGGTCAATTTTATGAACTTATGATGTATTAATTAATAATTTCATCCAAAATACATACTTCAAGTTTGAAACAAGCCAAAGGCTTTGAAACCATCATTAGTGTGATATGATATCACATATAGAAATCCATTTCCTCTGCTGCTTAAGATTAAAGTTGGGATTATGATGTTGATACTTGAAATAAGATATTTTATCTGGTAAATTTGGTGTAACTGTCCTCATATGCAACAATGCCCCCAGAGATTAGATATTTACATTACATATCATTTGCCATAGAAACTTAGTTTTGAATTACTAATACAGAGAGGGGTTGGGTTTAAGAATTCATTCGATTTTGTGCATATCAATTGATTTGCCATGAACTTTCATTTTTCTGTAATATGCGTTCTTTTCTTTTGTGTTTGAATATATTCAAAGATTGATTTTTTATTTATTTATTTATTTTTTTGTGTGTCAGGTGCTTTTATGACAGCAGGGGTGTTGACAGCAGGTCTTATTAGTTTCAGGCAAGGGAATTCTCGTTTGGGTCAGAAATTGATGAGGGCTCGTGTGGTTGTGCAAGGCGCTACAGTTGCACTAATGGTTGGTACAGCTTACTATTATGGGGAAAAATTTTAGAGTGCTGCACGAGCTCCATCGTGCTTCCTATTCCTTCTCACGACAAATAATGCATTTCATGGATCTTTTTTTCCTTATTATCTAATACCCTGCATTCTGAATTAGAGAAAGGGAACGATTTTGTGTAAGCATGTAGCGCCACAGAATGTAGACACTGTTGCCATCAAGTAATTAGATGATCGATTGCATGTATGTTGATTTCATTTTATCTTTCTTTATGATTTGCTTACTGCAAATCATAAAGCTACCTTAGATACTCAGACAAAGCCTAGTTTTGATACTCGGACAGCAAAATCAAGTGTATGAAGCTAGTGTAAATACATGAGTGCAATGAACAATTAAAGACAATCTATTACCATAATCTGGTGAATGGGAAACTGATCGATTACGTGAATGTTGTACGATTCTTTCCATCCTACATACCCTGTGCTCAGCTCAATCACTGTTTAAGCACTTGAAATTCCAAAAAAGTTAGCAGAATACTGAAAAAGGATGGCTTAATTGATCGCTTTTCTTCAAATTTTTCATATAACTAAAAACATGTGGGCATTTAAGCATGAAATCAAGGCCATATTGTGTATTAAACGCTCGTAAACCCAACAAAATCCGATCGTAGAATTAATCATAATCACCATCTAACTCGACTCTCTCTTGTTTTCGTTCAAAACAATAAATAGAACTATTTATACCACTACGTTTCAAAGATCATTCAAAAATCGTCAAAAAAACACAACAAAATAACAATTTTGTCGATGTTGGATGCCTTTAATCACCGACGCCCCCTTCTCCCATGAAAGCCCCCTCTCCCTCTGCCACGGCCTCTCATCCCTGGCAGCTTCAGTGACTCCACACCCCTCCTCTTCCCGGGACGCGTGGGCCCCTCGTCATCCTTATCCTCGTCATACTCCCTGTATTTAGCTGAACTCCTGGGATTGAAGGAGATTTCTCGAGATCCTCCTTGACCATGTTTGACCACATTCTTGGAACCTTCCGGATTTTTCCTCAGAGCCAACCTCTCTCCCAGAGGAAGGGACTCCTCATACGCGAGCGACTTGTTTTTCCAGAATGCGTCTGCATGCCGCTCGTCCTTCACTTCATATAATCTGCATATATATATATAATAATAATCACATTAATGAAAAATGACTTTTAAGGAATTAAAGGGAGAGTGAGAAAGGTCGGTGTATTATAAGACTCGCCTTGGAACTTGTGACTTTTTCCCAGATTTGGGATTGGTATTATTATTGTCGAGTTCATCTTCAGATGCGGATGATGCATCAGAACCGTCAATGCTTTGGTTCTCTGCATCAACGCTTTCAAAATGCTCGTCCAGCAAAGATGTGGGCTTCCTTGGTGTAGCTGTTGATGCCATAGGATGAAGGGCAATGTACTCTTTCGAGAACTCATCAACCTCAAAGTCCTACGCAACCATTATAGTAATCCAAACATTGGTATTTGTTATGCCAGTTTAGATAAACAAAGATCCAGCACATAAATACAACATTCAAGTCTTCCCCACATATTAGGCATTTTTCATGCTTTGGTAATTTTGGCCCACTATTTTCAGTAAAAGACTGAATATGTTTCACAATATTGATGGACAAATTTACTGCACAAATATTATTATAGATTGAACTTTGACATTACCTTGTTTTCAAACATAGCTGTAAACCTCTCATCTTTGAGGACTTCACCGGTGAGACCTTTCTTTTTCTTTGACGTTTTCTTATCAACAGCTCCATCGGTCTCCTTGTTATTCTGTTCTTCCTCTTCTTCGAGGATTTTGGCTGCCAGAGTTCGATTAACTTTGGGGAGCTTCCTCTTGATCTGCATTTAGCCAAAATGATTTGTTTGAAAATTCGTTCGGCAACTACAGATAATATCAAATATCACCTCATGTCTTTCTTTCTTTTGTTCCTTTCTCCTGTCTTTTCAATCAAATGAACAGTATACATAACCATCTACGCTATTGCTCGAATTTTCAGTACAAGCTTTANAAAAAAAAAAAAAAAAACACTCGATACATGTGAAACAAAACGAACCGTAATTCTTGAGGAACGCTCATCTTCTTTTTTCTCCTGCTTTCGCTTTTCTATATAAGACTCATAAGCAAAAGGCTCCGCCAAACTTAGTGCCTGCATGACATATTTCATGTTCTATTAGATCAAAACTTGAATGAATTTCAGAAGAAAATTAAGGTATATAACATATCAAATTTTTAATGAAAACAAAAGGAAAGGAAACAGAAAATATTCCAATATGACCAAGAACATGTAAGTAGTTGTGTATTTCTGTTCCCAAGATATTGATTATTACCTTCTTATACAGCTTGTAATCAATCATGTAACCATGCAAGAAGGCCCTCAGAAGATTGGTTCCAATCAAATTAGTCAAGTTCAGTTGGGCAAGTTGCTCTTTCGTCAAGAATTTGTAATCATCATAAATAATTGTTTCACCACCCTCCTCAAGCTCTTCCTGCACAGGCACAAGTTAGCAAAATTATCAATAAACAATAAACTATTATTTTATCGGTTCTTTTTCTGATGCCAAACACATTAAATAACCATACCGTTAAAGTCTCCAAATATGACAGCCATTTGGGAGCAGGCCCGAGGGCTGGTATGAAGTAACAAGGTATATGGCTGCTGTCCAGAGCCAGCAAAATCAAGCCACTTTCTTTATAGACGCACATATCATTAATTTTACCGGCATTCGGTTCAATGCTGGTCATACCTTCTCCCTGAAATTAAATTAACTCAGCTGAGCTTAACATACCAAAGAACGTGGTAAATTGGAAATTTAGAACTACAGTCAAGTAATGGTTCACCGTCTCAGGGTCCCATATCCTGACTATGTGCTCATCAGCAGTGATTAGTTTCGATTCCTGTGAGTTGAGAGTTTTATGCCACTTAATATTCAGAATAGGGCTTCCATACCTGCAAATACAATTCGACGAGGTGAATGTGATTAATTAATAAAATAATAACCAAAAACAATTCAGTCGTAATTTCATATATAAGTAAAAAAAAGGTCAAAAGCTAATAAAAAACTTACATATGATCCTTTACTCGCATTGGATTAGATGAACGCAAATCGTATATTAAAACCTGCATGATTTTCAGAAAATATGGAAAATATAACTAGTTTGGTCATATAGTAACTCATCCGGAAAACTAAAAAAACACCACATACAGTTCATACAAATATAACTTCGCAAAAGCAACCCATCTTTTCAAGTGTCCGGTAATCCAATGCACACTAATAAGGATCACACCTAGATTACGTTTTTACAACGAATAAACTAAGGCTCTCTAATCAATTCTTGGGACATGGTGGTACACCACCAACTGGAGCTATATATAGCTTCTGTGATCACCCAAGGTTGAAATAATGCCAGAACTTCCTGAAAAGCAGCTTTTATATTAAAGTTAAGCTAAAATGGTTTTAACCCAATGGTTGGTTTAATGAATATATCCCAAGGAGTCAGGTCTAATGGGAGAATGTGCCAATTTCCTCTATTAAAGATGAAGCAAAAGATTCAATAGAGCACAACCAAGATAAAGAAGACAGAGACAAAACAAATGATTATGAAATTATTTAACATGCCACTCTCTTGCTCACCTTCCCACCACTGCTTCCAACAGCCATGAGATAACCTCCATCATCATCGAACTCAATTGCCGTAACCTCCTGAAATTATCACATTTATTAAGAAGTCAATCAAGAAGACTGCCACTAACATTACTATGTACCACTACAAAGCATATTCAGAAGACAGCCATGAGTTATTGCCAAACCAATTTGACCAGAAAGCAAAAACGTGATTGATAGCCAAGTGTTTACAGAAAAAACAAAGTGGAAGTATATTCAATTAGATTGAATCATTGAATCACGTGTTTCCCAAGCACAAGCGCTGCATCGGGAAGAAACTCCACTCACCCCCAAGCCTAAAGCTAACAACCGG